TCATAAATGCACCATTTTGAGTCATAATCTTGTTATTTATTGTTTTATTAGATGTTTTAACTCGACATGCTCCTGTCATAATAATAATAATAATAATAACTTTATTACACTACTAAAAACCTTCAGAGGGTTTTTGTATGGTAAGGAACATAAATACATACAATACATAAGAGATAAAAATAAAATGTTAGTAAAATAAAAGAAAAAAATAAATTAATTACTTTCTGTGGTTTTAAAAATTGTGCTCTTTAAGTATTTTGCTAAAGCTATATTATTCTCCATAATCTTTTTAAATATGGAATTCACATCCATTGTGTAAATATTTATTGTACACTCATCAACCCTGCATCAAACAGTTTTTTTCTTTGTTCTATATAGCCAGTACAAAATAGCAGGAAATGTTTTTCATCTCCTAATGCTTTAGTGTTACATTTATTACAGTGTCTATTTTCTAATTCTATTTTGGGCTTTGTTCTTCTACCTAATTCTATTTCTAAGTTGTGGTCACTCAGACGGAATTTTGAAAGCATTTTCCTGAGGCTGAAATTTGAAATGTTTTGCAAATAATAATACTACTAATAATAATAATAATAATAATACGCAGCTGATTTACTTGAAATTGTGAAAAAAAAAGAAGCTTTTACTCACAAGGCATGATCACAAATAGTGCCTTCACAGTTTGATGTGGCAAATAGTGCCCCCACAGTTTAATCACGAACACTGAAATCTCACAAAAGGTGTGATTTGAACATAATTGTGGTTTCAAGGTGCCAATATTGAATTGTGATTTTTTTTTTTGGTTGTCAGCAGATGCCGAAAACCATTCCACTCCACTCAACAGTCTCCCTGCATGGTGATACTCCCTATACTGTACCTGGCTTATTATGCGAGAACATATATTTTGCTAGTAGTGTTTTTCAAATTCCAGATGACATATTGTAACCTACCATCAGCACTGGTGTTATTCTATATTATTTCTCCTCATATTTTTCAACAATATTACGCAATAATTTTTTGTGCATTACATTACACTTACAGTTTTTGGCATTCAAGTCTCATTTGAAAACGTAAATCAACTGAACCACCAAGCTTTACATAAAAAGTTTATATTGATTCCTAAAACTGTCTATTATTTGTATAATATTATTTGTAGACTTATCAGGGGTCACGACTTAACGAAGGGTCGCGTGAAAGGGGGGTGGGTTCAAGCATTGAAAACCGATAAAATGTATACCACAGGTTGTTTACCCTTATAGTATGTTTGCTTTATTGAAAAACATCACTACATCTCAGCTTTATAATGCCATCATGGTTGGATAATTTCACACATTTTCTGTTCAGTTCGCCTCTTGGTCAACTTTGAAAACAAATTTTCTTTACCACCATGGAATAATGGAATCATCGACTGTTAAATCACATGACTTGATTTCATTTATCTTGACACAAGTTTGTGAGTTTTTTACAAATGAACAGACTGCTGCTCAATGGAGAACTAGAAATCACAGTGATGGATTCAACTCATTGTAATAAGTTTTATAGAGCTATATCAAAGGGAGACTGGCCGAGAAATACAAAACTTTGCAACTTGACACCCCCATCAACACCTTGTGCCCGGCCTGCATTACTTTTTGTATCTCAGTAATTGATATCCTTACTGAATCAAAACTGACCATCAGCAAATGTGTATAGCCAAAAAATAAGCGTTTGTAAAATCCTACATGATCTTTTTAACACAATTATGATGCTATGACCTTTGTTTGTCCTGTTTTTGTGTTTGATTTCAAGTGTAACATGGGATCTCGCGGTGAACGGAAAATGGTCTGGTAAACCAACAGCTTGAAACCAACAGTGTTAAAGGTGTTTCCCCTGACACATAAACATATCTATATAACTTTGTATAAAGTGCTAAAAACATCCTCAACAATTTCTGCCTTTCCTGAAAATTGGTACATACATGTATATGAAACGTATCTATATCATAATATACATAACTGATATAGTAGCTGGCTTAGCGATGGAATCAGCAATAACAGTCCATACACACTGCCTCATCACTTACACGAAAAAACTGTTTTCTCTGTCACTAGTAAAAGTAGTAAATTGAGATTTTTTTTTTTAAATTTACTAAATATCCCATTATGATGTAATATGGATTAATGTTAATAAATAAGTGTTTTATGTTCTCAGTTATCATATTTAATAACACTTAGAGAGCGCTTAGTAAAATTGGGTTAATTTTCTAGTGAGAAGCGCCTGCAATTTACATTATAACTCTATACTGTTTACAGTGAATAGAAGATTGTTTAGAAAATAAAACTACAGTTAGCAGCTTACAGTAAACATAAATGCATTAAATGACAGGAAGCAAAATTTATTTTGGCTTTAACCAGGCAATTATAGACCTCACAAAATACATGTACAGTGATTTTCATGGAAGCCATACTACAGGTAGATACAAAGCTAGCTGAAATGACTATTGAATTATGTAAATTTGTATTTTTTTTGAGAGAGAATTTTTGTAATGTGTTTATATTGTAGTCATGTACCTTTTATAAATTTGTATTTTTGAATCTCTGAGTCTGGTGCCCCATAGAAATTAACATTGGCTTAGGGGGACTAAGCAGGAGAAATAACATGTTACAATACATCACAAAATAAAGGATTTACAACTATAAAACCTCATAAATAATTGATAATACATTTGTATGAAGCTCTAGATTTACATTTGAATACATAATTATTTTTGTTTCAAATAAAACCATAGTAGTACCATAATTAATTAAAAGACCTACATGTATGGAGAAAACACTTTTACATGACGACATATGAACGGCATATTCAGCTTTTACATGTCCTCGTTTTTTGAAAATACCCATGAAATACTACTGTAAAGGGCTTAATTATTCACTGGGTTTTAATTTAGCTTATTTCGCTGACTGGAAAATAAGCTAAATTAAAACCCGGTGAATATGTAAAATTTAGCATGGAACACATTATCTAAATGATATAACCGTGAATTTAAAACCCACTGAATATGCCTGAAATGGTAAATCAGCGAAATTTAAACCCAGCGAAAATTAGTCATTTTACAGTAATCCATGCAGCATAATGCTTTCAATCCCAATTTAATCTTCAAGGGAATGGTTCAATATTATGTACAGCAAACATAATCCAGATCAGTAGATTAAAAATTTCAATCAATGTCTTATTGTATCCTTTTTTTTCTATTCCCACCCAATAACAAAAATAAATGATGAATCAGACAACTAAAAATAAATGACATAGTGGACGGATTGAAAAATATGGTTTTAAAAAGTAATCGAAGATTTGGGTCAACACTTTTATTAAACCTCAATAGAAAAGCATTTCAATCATAAAACTGTTAGCATGATAACCAAAATGCTATATCGCTAAACTATAATGAAAAACGTCACATGTAACTAACACCGGGTAGCCAGAAGAGATACATTAGAAAAGCTAGATATGTGACATCATGTTTTTCATTATAACAGCGCTGTTAAAAATAAAACAGCATAATTGTTCCGTTCCAGGAAACTACATCCCCTATTGAAAGTTCATGGCCATGTTAAAATGAACAATAAATTATTCCGTGCAAAAAATCTATTTATAGATTTTAGAATTTCTTTCAAACAAATCGACTCACCTGCTTTTGCTGGTGTTTACAAACAGGTGATACAGATACAAGGATATTCAAATAATTAAATTTACGGGTGTTTTTTTTTTCTTCAAATATATGTCGTTCAGTGATGCAAATACGACGAAGACTGGGAGAAAATGTCGGAATCCAACGAAGGAAGCTGAGTCCGCCGATATTTTAGCAATTTCCGACTCGCGTAACTCGGCTGATAATATTCAATCGTATCTGCTTTGAAGCCGCTCGTTTTCGAGAGCGTTTGCAATGTTTGTAACTCACAGTCGATATTTTTCGTGGTTCTTTCACAATTTATGTAGCCTGAACTCTGCATCATCGATTCTGACTCAAGTTTCGAGCGATGATCTCATCCTTACTTGGTTTCTGGGGAAAAATAAGCATCGAACGATAATATAACATGTGAAAACCGATCTACTCACCTGAACAAGATCTGCCGAAAATCACCCCAAATCAAGCCTAGCGGCAACCCCTGAGCTGTTTTCTCCTTCTATTATTTTCCACAACCATGTAGTCTTTTCATAAATTCCACAGAAATAACTGAAGATTGCAATACATAGATTTTTGGACAATATAATCACACAATCGTATAGTATAACTTATCATCCAGGAATATCCCGACTTTAGTGACGTCAATGCGACCCCCTGCAAACTGCACATAAACGTCACTAGAAAGTGTGTGGATTCCATCAAATGTCACCGATGAGGGCTCGCGTCAAAGTTTAACCTAATTTTAACGAAAAGCTTGTCTTTCTCAGTGCGCTTTGTATATGTCACAACAATATTCGGAAGAGGCATTCGAACAAACATGGCTTCAAGCTCAAGTGCAGATAAACCAGAAGATGGTGCATGTGCCGGGGAAGGTCACTCTGCTGTCTCGGAATTTCTCGGAAACGTAGAGTTACCAGCCACTGAGGCAGCAATGTTTGCCGTGGTTCCGTTAGGATGGTGTCCCCACTTAGAGGGAAGTGTGAATCCAGTTCCGGAGGGAGGTTTGGTCACAAGTACCCCGTGCCAACAGTCTGGGTGTGAAGACACCAGAGAAAACTGGGTTTGCCTTTGTTGCTATGGAGTGTACTGTGGAAGATTTATTAATGAGCATATGCTAATGCATCATCTTGAGTCAAATCATCCTTTGACACTAAGCTACGCAGATCTATCTGTTTGGTGTTATCCGTGTGATTCATACGTTCACAATATAGCACTGTTACCAGCAAAAAGAGCAGCCCACCTCAGTAAATTCGGACAAGATATTCCTGAATGAACATTTACATCATTGCTGACACGTTTTGAAAATATTTATTTTCAGCAAACTTCACCAGTAACCGTGGTTTCACATACTGTAAAGGGGTTAATTATTCACTGGGTTTTAATTTTGCTTATTTCACTTACTGGAAAATACGCTAAATTAAAACCCAGTGAATTGTAAAATTTAGCATAGAACACATTATCGAAATGATAAAACCGTGAATTTAAAACCCACTGAATATGCCTGAAATGGTAAATCAGCAGAATTTAAACCCAGTGAAAATTAGTAATTTTACAGTACCGTACTATGTTTTTCAGAAAACTGTGAATGATTTTTATTATCGTTTACAATTAGAGTACTCTCATGTTTACCTTGAGTAACGCCCATCACCCATCATAGTCATGTTATTTTGAACTGCCATTGAAATTCATGAAACATTTGTTGATTTCATTTTAAACACATTCAAAGCTTTGTGAAATGTAGTGTACTTATGATGTAAAGTAACCTTTCTGAGTTCAAATGAAGGAAGCTTTGGATATGTTAAAAACAAAAAAATACAATTTGCAGCCAATGGTGAATACAGAATATAGAATGAACACAGAATGTGGCCTAATACACTGATAGTTGTTGCTGTTTTGTTCCATAGCTGTTTTTTAAGAAGACAGCTAAGGCTGGTGCTAGAGTATGGTTTGCCATAATCAAAATTAATTTATTCTGACTATTTTCTTTATCAAAATTTGGAATTTTATTTTGTGCAGTCAGGAATAATTTGTCCCTATGGTGACTGTAAGCTGGACATTTCATTACAAAATGTTGCTCATCCTCAACTATATTTTGGCTGCACATATCACATGTTCTTTTATCCAGCCGCACATTATTATGTCTGCCTTTCTCAATTGACTGTATGTCATTGAGTAAAGCGACATTTCCCTTCTCTGGAAGAATTCAAACCTGAAAGTGACAAATGGGGCAGTTGTAGAAAATGCACATCGGAAATCTGTACAAATTCTGAATAAAAATTTATTGTGCAACATTTTTTGTCTGTGTCATAGATGAAGGGAAAGATACAGTCTGTACTTATTGGTTTTGTCGGCATTAGTATAAACTATTTTCTTGTGGTTACAATATGTCAAACAGATTTTATCCATTCTTTTTCAAACTTGGATATATTATTACCCTGTTTGGGATCTTGATCAAGCTTGGTTCTGGTATGTCTTGCATACTGTAAAATACTTTATTTTCGCTTGGAATTAATTTTTGCTGAAGGAATGATTCAGTGAAAATAAAATCCAGTGAATATACCTTTTTTCTTATATTTTACAGTCAACTTGTCAAAAATCAATGAAAATAAATTCCATACAAAACACCCAACATGTCTTTTCAGCGAAAATTAAATCCAGCTAAAATAAAGTATTTCACAGTATTGTGCAGATTTTGGTTTACCAGGAGTTGACTTCAGATAAACAGCGCCACCTAGTGGACAAATTAATCATTTCCCCCAAATAAAATTTAGTTTTCATTGTTGGTAATCTTTGAACATTCATTGATATTTTGAAGCTAGACAATTGTGAATAGAATTGTGGAGGGAGATTATATCATATCCTATTTCTCTTCATTGAAAATAAAGAATGCAACCCATATTCTGTAGTTACTGTGAAACATGTTGAAACAAACGTTTTAAAATGCGATTTGATTGGAATATGTCCCAATATTTATACACGTGCGTTTCCAATCTCTGTTCATGTATACGTTTCTGTGTTCTCGTAAAAACCCAACACCACATGTGTGCTACTATTAATATATATTTCAGGTGTTACCCGGTAATAGTTGGAGAAATGAATTCAAACATACCCGTAGTGTTAATAGTGTTGGCACTTTAGTAAATACTTTACCTCTTAGTTGTATGGTACAGTGATGGTCCAGTAGTAAGCATGTTCATCTGTATCAAGAATGTTCCCAGTTTGATTTCCAACTGTTTACTTCACAGTACACATAAGAGTACAGTCTGTCCTGCCTTCCAAATACACCACATCACGTTTGGGGGATTTCTGCCCTGTATTCAAAATTAGCACCAAGTACCCCCAGAAAAGACTTCAATGTCCAGAAATAATGGCTGAATCATTATGTGCCACAGAGACAGAATATTTTGTTGATTGAATTGTAATTATTTTTATTCCATACAGCTTATTATGACTATCAAAAATCACAGAGAATATATTAAAAACAATTGCAACATGAGAAAACAGGTATATCAATTTAATATAAATCTACTTTTTTGTAAAGCTTTCAAAACTAAATCCACTGCTACAGTAAAACTTCAATATAGCAATTCATAGAACAGTCTGTATTCATCCAACATCTATTCATTTTTACAGAATATTTTCTATTAAATGTATCAATACTGGTATCATTAAGTGTCTATCTGCTATGCATATATCATGGAATATTATAATCTGGCCTTTTTGAGAAGTCTTCAATTTCTTTACTAGTGGGTATTTTTTGAAGCATTCTTTATTCATCATTTGTAAAGGGGCTTGACCATTAAAAAATGAGGGTGAGTTTTCTCAGAGAATAAATTAGAAATGTTTATAAAAAGACACACACAAAAATATTTATGATAGAAAACAATCTAATTAAAATAAGATCCTGGTTGGCTTAATCTTTATTTTATTATATATAATTACTATAATTATTATTTATTTTAATTATTTTTTGACGTTACAATTTACAATTATTTTGCTGCAAAAATGGTTTTGTTTGTGAAAGCAAGTAAAACCAGGATTCTATTTTAATCAGATTGGATAGAGAAAAGCTTCAAGAAAAAACGTCAGTCAAAACTAAATATAAGAAACAAATAACATGCAGTTTTTTTCTGCCCCCCCAAGTTTGAATAGTCAACCCTTAATACAGTTTATCTGCATTATTGTACTCTGTGTGATTACCAAAGATGCTCCTTCATTCAATATATCCATTGTTTCTGCTGAATTGCATGTCATATAGAAAAATAGAAATCTGTCCAGCCTCACATAGGATATCCATAAACAATCCACAAGTTAATATCTTAACTGTCATCTGAACTCTGACATCAATACTATGATAAATATTGACAATGTTATTAATTGCTAAAACTTGGCCTTCAATGTTTACAGGTAAAATTTTTATGAAATTTATTACATTATTATATAATTTCATATACTGACTAGTTTGAACTTGCTATAAATTAAAGGTACCAGGGGGTACCCATTGCAAAAATATTCTATAGAATTCAATGGAAATTCTATAGAATTTATATAGATTATTCTACAGAAATTCTATTGAAAACTATATAATTCTATAGAACTCTATCTCTGTAGAATTCAATTCAATAGAATTCTATAGAACTCTATTGAGGTTTTTCATAACTTCTACTGCCACCCCAGCCTAGATTTCAGAAATATTGCAATTTGATTGTCACATGAAACACTACACTAAGAGGAACAACAAATTAACCAAATGAAGCCTCTTTATAATTTTGAACTTGAAGTATATAGAGTTATGAAATACCGGGGGGTAACACATATCAATAATATCACATGATTGTATGGTTTATGAAATAATTTTTTTTTAACAGCTTGAATCTTGGAGTCCTTTAATAACTTGATCAAGTTTCATGGCTAAAGCTCTGTCACCAGTCACTTTTAATCTTCCACTTAAGAAGGCTTGGAAAGGTCGAAGTTCACCAGAAAACATCATTTGCATATCATATGTCGTCATCTCCAATACAGCGTCAGGTTCTTCATTTGGATCACCACTGCCAGCATCACCCGAACCTTGAAAGTTCAATAAACTGATTTTTAAAATCTCTTCAAAACACCATATATTTCCAAGAAAATACCACTCATCACACATTTTTACAAAAGTAGCCACTTAATTCTTTGCTTATTTCCGAAGTAAATGACCACTCAACTTGCCACACATTTTTAGTAAGTTGGCCACTCATCTCACCATGCATTTCCAAATAATGACCACTCAACTCAACATATTTTCAGCAAACTGGCCAATCATCTCATTGCTCATTTCCAAAAATATGGCCACTTATCTCACCTTACATTTCCAAAAATATGGCCACTCATCTCACCTTACATTTCCAAAAATATGGCCACTCATCTCACTATGCATTTTCAAAAATATGGCCACTCATCTCACCATGCATTTCCAAAAATATGGCCACTCATCTCACCTTACATTTCCAAAAATATGGCCACTCATCTCACCATGCATTTCCAAATATATGGCCACTCATCTCACCATGCATTTCCAAGAATATGGCCACTCAACTCACCTTACATTTCCAAAAATATGGCCACTCATCTCACCATGCATTTTCAAAAATATGGCCACTCATCTTACCATGCATTTCCAAAAATATGGCCACTCATCTCACCTTATATTTCCAAGAATATGGCCACTCAACTCACCTTACATTTCCAAGAATACGGCCATTCAACTTACCACACATTTTTAAGAATATGGCCACTCAACTCACCTTACATTTCCAAGAATATGGCCACTCAACTTACCACACATTTCCAAGAATATGGCTACTCAGCTCACCTCACATTTCCAAGAAAAACATTATATGACCGGTCAACCCACAATACATTTCCAAAAAATCTAACTCACCACACTTTCCACGGAAAATGTATGTTCAAAGAAATTGCTACTCTAAAGAAAATGGTCACTCAATTGACCACATATTTGCAAGAAAATATCTCTTTAAAAAACAAGCAGCCTATCGGCTGAGATAGCTCCGCTGTTAGCAATGCACATTTCAATTAAAGAAC